ATGCTATTATTTAATTTGTTTAAATATAAACATAATCATTATTCTGGTCTGAGTATGTTGATCGGAAAGAAAGAAAATCTGGTGTTTAGTTTTTGGGAAATTATCATATTAAATTTATTTGGAAACAAATTTAATAATATTTTTATCACAGATTTTATTATTAATTTAGGTTGTTTACGTATTACATCTAAATATGATCGTTCAGATTTCAAACATTCTGAATTATGTAAATGTCCTGAAGAACAAAAACAAATTTTTTTCAGAAGTTCAAACGACGGAAAAAGTGGTTTTTTAGATGTAGTATTTGTAAATATTTTCGAAATATTTATTCGTATTAAAAATAAATAAAATAAACTGAATGAAAGTATAAATATAAAGCAAGGTATTCTTAATTCCTTCAACATTCTCATAAAATAAATTTTAAAATATTTGAATCAACAAGATTGTTCTTGGAAACTGAATCTCAAAATTCGCCATGGAAGAAAATTCATCCGACTTTCACAATCAAAACGTTTTGGATATTTGGAGAATTAGGAAAAAGAATTCACAAAAACAAACTTTATAATCGAATTCGAAAAGTATCAATTAATGATATTGATTATTTTGAAGTTGAAACCCAGAAACCGGAAATTACATTTCTGATTGACATCAAAAATTATGGAATAATGAAAAAATATACTTGGACTTGTATTAAAAATAAAAATGTAAATACATATTATATTTGGACAAAAAATAATCGAAAAAATTTACTACTTCATCGTTTGATTCGACCAGAATAGAAAATGATTGATCATATTAATCGTTGTGGATATGATAATCGTGAAATCAATTTACGAGAAACAACAACAAGAGAAAATGCATTGAATTGTAAACTTAAAAAAAATAATACCTCAGGTTATAATGGAATTATTTTTGATAAATCTAGAAATCGTTGGGTGTTTCAATGGGTTAAAAATAACAAACATAAAAGTAAATGGTTTTGTATTAATAAACATAGAACTAGTGAACAAGCCAAACAGTTAGCGATCGAATATAAATTGAAACACAACGAAAAAACAGGAAATAGAAATGGTTATTCTGTGATTTTTTAGTTTGTTTTTTTTTTATTAATAAAATAATATCTATAGTTTATTTTTTTTAACAACTGCTTTCTCCAATTGGTCTGTTTTACGTTTACCATTGGTTTTGTTTTTTAATTTTCTCTCTTTTGTATATTGCGAATCGTCTGAATTATATTCGCTCATTTGGCTATCATAATCTAAATTGTCTGGCTCAACAGAAGCTTTACAAGGATTTTCGAGTTCCAATTTATATTGATATAAAGACTTGCTATTTGGGTAGTCACGAAGATAGTTCTTTTTATATTCAGAAAAATTTTTTCGCCAGTAAACTTTATCATTCTTGAATAAAAGTTCGCCATCTTTAAACCCTGATTTTTTTTGTTTTTTCGATAATTTCATCGTCTGAAAGATCAGACCTTCGCAAATCAATATCAAAAACTATATTTCGAAAATCTATTTCAGAACCCTTGAGAAAATTAATTTGAGTGGTTTTATTATTCCAATTTCTAGTAAACTGAATTATAAAATCTAATCTTCGTTTAAACTGACCCCAATCACAATGCACAGTCGTATTGTCAACGATGTTTCTATTTCCAAAATTGAATGCTTCTTGAGGAGGCTTTCTGGATGTCATAAAGATATATTTTGCTAGAAAAGAAATGAAGCCTTTGTGTTTAATCTCAACTCGTTCATCGGTATCGTTCAATAGCTTAACGATATCGTTCTACCCGATTGTCGTATACCTAAAAAAAAAAATTAATTTCTATATAAATTAACAAATAGTCAATATAAAAACTCACCATTCATCGAATAAAACAATTTCTTGTTTATCGTAACCATCAAACCAATTCGAACCACTCTTTTGTCTTTGAGGCTTTGAATATAAAGAATCACCAAATAATTCTTGTATCAAACCAGATTTGCCAGATCCACCTGGACCGAAGATATAAATCGTGCATGGACGCCAAAATCTTTTTAATTTTACTTCTCTAATCTCTTTCTCTTTTTTGATCAAGTATTCAAGATCTTTTAAACTCCTGAGCCAGCTCCAAGGTAATAATTCTTTTTTTTTTTTTAAAAATATCATCTATCGTAAGATTATTTTCGATAATATGATTGATTCTCTCAATATCCTCTAATCTCTTCGCATTTAATGTATCGGTATTATCACCTTTTAGTTCAGTAGGAGTTCCTAAATAACAATAATTTCCAAAAATCCAAGGTCCATTTTCATTGTTTGATAATTCTAAGGCTCTCCAACGAGCAAGAGTATGTTTGTCTATACAGTCTTTATTACATTGTTACAAAATTTTTCCTTCTCTTGAAAATCACAACGGTATTTTTTTCAATGTTTAGGATCCTTACACCTGTTCCATTGTTTTTGAGAGTAATCATGGTTTTTATCAGAATCTCTATTTAAATATTTAGGAAAGTTCATTGCTTGATGATTGAATATTTTTTTTGCGCTGGTAATAGTTTGGTATTTATCAAATTGGAAATAGCATTGTTCATGAAATTTTCCTAAATCAGTAGATTCGTATTGACCTGAGACGTATGTCAGTCCAAGTTTTTCTAATATGTTAAATTCTTCTTGCGATTTTGGTAAGATGCGTTGACACTTGATTTTAGATTCTTTACAATAAGAACATTCAATTTCGTTGCATTCGTTCAATTTGCAACATTGATCACATTTTTTATCTTTGCAACGCCAATGATCTTTAAGACATTTATCACACTGAGGAACCTTCCCAGTTTTCGAATATTCCTCTTCTCGTTGCTGTTTATCTTTATCAGACAAGTTTTTCTTGCACTTGAAACAAGTTAAACAAGGAACACAATAGAAAATAGTTGATATAATATGTCTAAATCTTTGATCACGGCCCATTTAATTTTTTTTAAAAAAATCGACAAAGGCGACATTTATTCTTTTTATAATTTTTTATTTATTTTAAAATTATTTATACACAAGTTGTTTAAAAAAATACTGTTTTAGAAAAATACTATTTAGGAAATACTATTTAGGAAAATACTATTTAGAAAATAAAATTAATCAGTCAGAAAAATTTAAGAAATTATATTCATCCTCTGGAAGTTTAAAATGATCTAATTCATCTTTCTCTGAATCAAAACTCTCATCAAGATTCTCAATATTATTAACCTCTTGATTATTAAGGCTCTCAGTATTGTCAACTGGAACTTTGGAATCTATATAAAGATCCTTGTTTGAATAAACCTGTTCAGTATATAGGTTTTCATCAACTTCCTCTTGATAGATAGAAACAAATACTTGATTCTGATAAACCCATTTGGCACATTGGAAGCTTGGACCATAATATGCTTCAAGCTATCTGAATTCATCAAGTAATTTGTCAATGAAATTATTCTTCTCTTCGATGATTTCTTGTAATCTACTGATGTTTTGAAGAAACGCTTCATTAATCTCTTCAATCCTTCTTTCAAGTTTTTTACGAAGACATTTTTCTTCTTTATAAATATCTTTGCTAACAAATTGTTCTTTTTTGGAATAAGGATATGTAGTAACTTTTTCAGAAATAAATTCACGGTTTTGAGTATCTTTAGGCATTTTGTTTAAAGTTTTTGTAAGGACGATATCTTTTTTTTTTTAATACCTTTATAAATTTTTTAAAAAAAACTTGATTGGTTCTATTTACATTTCATATTTCCTTTAAAGGCTTATCGTTGGTAATTAAAAATTCCATAACTAATAATTACCAAATCCGTAAAAAATCTGATTTGGAAATTAAAGAAAGTTTGATTGGTTCACTTTAAAGAAAATTCGAAAATTCTGTTTTGGTCATGTTATATTTGAATGATGAAACTTGTTTATTTATAGTTTTTTTTTTAATAAGAACAAATTAACAACTTTTTAAACATGTTTTTTTAATTTTTTTCCAAAAGTGAGTTAAAATCCTTTAACGTTTAACATTCAATATTTTAGTCAAATGACAAAATTTAAGAAACAAGTTTTGCTCTTTTATAGTTTTTATCTATATAAAGAGTTAAAAAATTTACAAATTCGTCAAATTAAAATTTATTAAACTAAAACAATTTCAATAATACAATTTTCAAGATGACTTTTTTTAAAAACATTATTAAAAAAATCAAAACTATTACATTGAAAAAACAAAAAAAAATTGAAGATGATTGGGAAGATTGTTTTCAAGATATAGAATGG